AAAGCATGGTGCATCCCATGGTGATTTCCAAAGCACAAACACTAGGTAATGCCATTGGCTGATTTCCAGTTTGCAATATGTGTTTTAATCTTTTGGTTAGGAAAGTCTACCACCACTACTACTCAGCATTTCCCCGTCATTATCATCATCTTCATTAACATCATCCGTGCATCCTTGTCCATTTTTTCCCAAATGGCTTCATCACCAGTTCACCAGATTCTGCTAAATACCTCACTAAATTATTATACTATAAAATTCAAAGTCATCTTTTCTATTTTTAAGCTTTCTCACCAACTAGAGAGATTAACTTTCCATTTCTTCCTGTATCTTCAGTCTACTGAGGCTTCATAATTGTCCCTGAACATTTATTCTCATGTATTTAAAGGTTTTCTGTCATTATCTTAACTCGTTTGCCATGTATGTCAAGAAGTTATAATAAGGAAAATGATTTTTTCATTTGTATCTACAACTCTAAGATTAATTTCTGTGTATTTTCCCAGTAGAGTAAATCCTTGACATTCATGATTGAATAGTCACAGTTTCAATAGCTCACAAGAGAACACAAAAGGCCATGGTATGTAATAATCATTTTACTGGGGCTCAAAATTGAATCACACCTGCTGCAAGCGTGCTACATAGGAGAAAGTCATTTTGCTAAAGGAAGTGGCCAGGAACACTGCATAAGAGCAATGCTGAATATCATCCATCCTTCACCTTCCCCAGTCCTTTGCCTTGGTGGGTCACACTTATCCTCACTTTCTTTTTTTATTTTTTGGTTTTGTTTCGTTTTGTTTTGTTTTGTTTTAGAGAAGACATCTTATACAATGGCCTTATATGCAATGGTCAGTGGGGGTTTTCTGAGGGTTTTGAGGCTTATCCTGCACCAGAATACATTCAAATCATGTGCAAATTGGATATTTTCCTTTCTTCTCTCACCTTCAGGCAATTGGGTTTCCCTTCTGCATAAAGATTTCAGTAATTTTACACTCTGCCTTGTATTATATTTGTTCACTTAACAAACACATCTGTAGTGCTCACTGTGTCTATTCTAAGTACTTTATTAATAACGACTCATATAGCATATAATAACTCCATGAGTTAAACATCATCATTATCCCAACTGTAAAAGCCAGAAAACTGTTTTCAAGGGTGACAGGCATTCTTGTCTAGATCCTATTTTTTAAGGAAACTCTCACAGGTAGTTTCCTTTACTCATATTATTGGTCTTATTGTAAACATAAATTTCATGCTATGTAAAGGAAGAAAACTTCCATTATTTGTCACTTGTATGTTAATGTGCCTTTAGTCAACACTAAATATTGAAATGTTCTGACCACCTTTCTTAGTCTCTATTGAAATAATTCTGTTTTCTATCATTTTGCAGTTAATGTTAGTAAAGTATCATGCTAGCTTTGCTTTACTGTGGCCAACAGTCCTTGTTTATAATGGATTACTTGTCTCCATGTGTTGCTCTGTTTTGTGCATTAAGATTAACATTCTATTTCTAAGCTCTTAAATGAGTTTAAGAATCATTCCCTTTTGTCAGGGAGGGGGAGATACAAACCATATTTACCTCAACCAATTCAATATATCAATATTAATGAAGTAGGTACTGTGTTACCCTGCACTAGACACTGTAGAACATGAAAGATTCAAAATGAATATAATATGAAGACAATGCTCAGCAGCAGAACTTCTAAGACCATAAAGGAAAAAGAATTGTGTTAGAGAAGACAATGATTTTGAGGACTTTGTACATGCCTAGAATCTGTACAACTTAACATGTGTTTTCTGCTCTTTGATTTTGGTTTTTCTCCCAAAGACTTAAGAAGAGGCCCTAGATCAACTAAGTGAACATACAGGACTAAGGTGACCCCTGTAAGGACAAAGTCTTCATCCATCCTACTGGCAACTATATGCCCATCTTATAGCTAAGCACATGGCTCGCAGTGAGTGCTCAATAAACAATTATTAAAATGAAGAAATGAGCCAGCTCTTTGACCAAAGCAACTGGTCAAGCTGGTTTTTCAAATGCAATGTGGCTAGAAATTTGTTCAATGGGTCATCAAGAAAAGAGATGTTGCAAAGACTTTACCTTCATGTGAGGTCAGTCTGTGGGGGGAGGTATAGGGAGCTTGAAAAACTGGAAATGGGATAGCAGACAGAATCCTTGGGATCTGGAGAAAGAGATCAAGACTATGAGGTGTTCTGGAAGCTTCCATCCTCCTAAAAATAGACCTGAGTGTGTCTGTAGCCCCAGGTACCCTGCCTGGACCTGTCACTTGGCCCTTTATGTCCCAAAACTCTCCGAGCTTGTGAGGTCAGGACTTAGGAACAATTAAGGAATACAGAAAAGGTCTAACCTTCTATAATTGTCCCTGGACAAGCCCTGAGCCAGTTCAGCCACCTGGTGCCTGGGGACCAAACTATATTCAGACCCAGGGAAGCAGGTGCTACATATGGACTGAAGAGATATATCCCGTCAAGTGAGGAAACTTATCACATGCACTTCTCCTCTTTCCTTCCATTCTTATTCATGTCTTCATCACCTTCCCCAATTTCTCCCCCTGCCCTCAAGAAATTCCTTTCCCCTTTCCAACCTATCTCTATTTTCCCTTCTGGGCCCTCCTCCATCTCAGGTTCCAGATCCTTACTTTACCCCCACTCCAACCTCTCCCACTGGGCCTTCTTGCGCTCTCTGCCTGCCTGCCTCTCTGCCTTCCCCTTGCCCTGCCCCCTGCCCCCTACCCCCCTGCCCCCCTTGCCCTATCACTAGGACCCCGCAGGTGGTTGTGGATTCTGCGACTGCTTCCTTCCAGTCTCTCTCATCTTAGTGGGGTCCATAGCCAGCTCTCCTGTTGCTCAGAGATGTGGAGGCAGTTGCTAAGAGACAGTGAAACGTCAGTACCTGGCCCTCGAGGAAAAAAAGGGAGCGAAAAAGGGAGAGAGGAGGGGGAGAGAGGAAAGGAAGGCGGAGGGAGGGGAAGACCTGGCGGAAGCCACATACCCCAGCAGCCTCAGCACCAGCTGAGTTTCGGGAAGAAGCATTCGGATTCTGTGAACTTTCTTCTAAGCATCCTCTCTCTGATTCCCCTTTTTGAGTAAAAGAAGGGAAACGGCCAGGCACCGGGAGCACAGGACGGGAAACCACAGAGGATGCTGCCCCGGGATCCAGGAGCCATGGAGGAGGAGAGGCCGGGGGAGGGGACGTGCCGAGGAGGCAATCTGTTCTCCTGAAGCAGCGAGCGGGATTCCAGGATGAGGGAGGGAGACCCGTGTCTGCAGCAGATTGATGGCTGTGTCCTTGGAACCGAGTAAGTGGACCCCTGAGGGCCTCTGGGAATGGAAGGCGAGACCTTGGGGTTCAGAAAAATGGGTCTGGATAAAGGAACTGGGTGATTTCCCAGTGGGCGGGATTGAGGCTGAAAGTGCTGGGAAGGGAGGCAGTGCCAGACCGAAGGGGTGAGGGAGGACAAGTGAGGACAGCCAGGGGCCACGGAAGATGCAGGCTGCGGGGGCCACCAGGGATGCGGGTGGACGGCAGGGCTGAGACACCGGGTGTGTGATCGTGCTGTCTCTCTGCCTGACCGAATGTGGGCGTGGGCTCACACTGGAGGGCAGAGTGGGGTGCTTGTAGAATGGGCACTAGCATTAGGGGTGTGCATGGGGGTGAAAAATGGGGGCAGACTGAACAGAGGGCTCTGCAGGAGTGCGTGTACAGAAGGCAGCTGGGCAGAAAACTGGGAGGTGTGAGCACAGAGCAGGGCAGAATGTGGGGGGATCACAGGAGAACAATGTGTGCATGTGGGTGTGTGTGTGTGAGAAAGAGAGAGAAAGGGAGAGAGGAGAGAGAGAGAGAAAGAGAAGATGAGGGAGAGGGCGATGGAGGGAGAGTGGAGTGCTAACCGCGTCTGAAAGGGCTATGCAAACGACCAGATGAACGTGCCTGTGCATATTTTCTTAGAGTTGTTCAAGGGTGGGGTGTTTGATGCTGAGGGGCAAGGCTAGGAGGAGAAGCAAACACATCTCCCCCAGGACAGAACCCCCAAGGAGGACAGGCGACCACAACGGGAGGGTGGGGTCTCTCTGACCCTGCCCGCACCTGACCCACAGTATGCAGAAGACTCCTTTAGAAGCAGGGAAGACACGGGAGCAGGGAACCTAGGGGGGCTGCAGGGAGGAGAGGGCTGGGGGGAGAGGGCTGAGCGGTCTCTGCCTGAGTGCTTTCCTTGTTGACAGAGGAAATTCTGTCCCGGCCTGCTGAACACAGAGCCGGGCGGGGAGAGTGGCCCCGGCTCAGGACAAGTCGCCAAAGCCGTCCTAGCTGCCCGCCTCCTGCACCACCAGGACATATGGCTCTTTCCAGACTTGGCAGCCGACAGCGGGTGTCACTCGGGTCCTCCCCAATCTGGGAAAAGAAGAACCTCCTTGGGGATTTCAGTAGATGCTGAGGCTGAGGACTCAGGCTTTCAGGAGGCCCATGGGGACCCACTCCCCGCCAGGCTCCCTTCCCAAAACACCCGCCCCAGGACCCCCTTGGACTCGAGTCCCCTGGGCTACCAGAAAGAATGGCTTCTGAGACTTCCCATGCTGGAGACCTGGCCTCCTAGTTGGTCCCAGACGTGAGACACGGCTCAGGGTTTTTCGATGCCCCAGGACCTTCAACAGACACCTTTCATGTCCTTCCTCCCACCCACCAGCACCACCTCTCCAACATAATACAGAGAGGAAGCACCCAGCAGTCATGGGTGAGAGGAACACAGATCTACAAGGACCCTTCCACACCCACGACCTGCTAGCAGCAGGTCCAGCCCCATCCTCAGCTCCTTCCTCTCCCAAGTCTTGATCATCTTCTCAGATCCTGAGGGACCTCAGCTGGATTGATTGCCCCCTGGGCTCCAAAGGGTACTCCCTGTGGATCTCACCTAGGGAGCCCTCTGGTGCTTAGAGGCTCTGGGCAAAGGCTTGAGCCATGATACCACGTGCCCAGAAGCCCCACCTTCCAGGACTCTGGCCCTGATGTAGCTGTCTTTCGGAGGCACTGACTCTTGCTTCATGGACACGGCCTCAGCCCCAGTGGGCTCCCTACAGCACTGCTGTTGCCAGCTGCCTGAGATGGGTGACACCTGGTCCCAGCTGCCCTGGCCTGGGCCCCCCCACCTGGCCGTGCTGCTGGTCTCCCTTCTCTTGGCAGCCGGGGTGATGCACTCGGATGCCGGCACCAGCTGCCCGGTCCTCTGTACGTGCCATAACCAGGTGGTAGACTGCAGCAGCCAACGGCTGTTCTCCGTGCCCCCAGACCTGCCGATGGACACCCGCAACCTCAGCCTGGCCCATAACCGCATCGCGGCCGTGCCACCCGGCTACCTCACGTGCTACATGGAGCTCCGGGTGCTGGATCTGCGCAACAACTCCCTGATGGAGCTGCCCCCAGGCCTCTTCCTGCACGCCAAGCGCTTGGCACACCTGGATCTGAGCTACAACAACCTCAGCCACGTGCCAGCTGATATGTTCCAGGAAGCTCACGGCCTCGTGCACATCGACCTGAGCCACAACCCGTGGCTGCGCAGGGTGCACCCCCAGGCCTTCCAGGGCCTGGTGCAGCTCCGAGACCTGGACCTCAGCTACGGGGGCCTTGCCTTCCTCAGCCTCGAGGCCCTGGAGGGCCTGCCGGGGCTGGTGACCCTGCAGATCGGCGGCAACCCCTGGGTGTGCGGCTGCACTATGGAGCCGCTGCTGAAGTGGCTGCGGAACCGGATCCAGCGCTGCACGGCGGGTAAGGCAGGTGGGCAGGAACTGGGCAGCCCGGGGGACAGGGAGGCTTGCCTCACTGCGAGCAAAGGCTCCAAAAAACAGGGAGGCACTGCGAGCTCTTTGGACCAGCATGTGCCCTGATCTGCGCTGGCCTCTGCGTGCACCGGCCCGCTCACTTTATCCATGCAGCCCTTGCTGTGCATGCTGGGCGCCAGGAGCCCATTCATGAATGACACACAGCCCGCTCTTGCCTCTGTGGTGCTTAGGACCTAATGAGGCAGACAGATAGTAAGCAAGACTAGCTAATAAAAGACAGTGGGTCCTGAGCTTTCATCAGGACCTAAGAGCTCAGCACGCATTATTTACCCCTACTTCTATGACCTCCATTTTGCAGGTGAAGAAACTGAAATCTAGAACAATGAAAAGACTTGCCCAGGGTCACTCATTTAGAGAGTATCGGGGCCATGGATAAAACCCAAGCTGATTTGACTTCCAAGTCCTGTTCTACTCAGCCAGGCTGCTTTTTAAGTGTTGTAAGTGCTGGGAAAACTCAAAGAAATAGAAATGTTTAATACTCTTTTAGTACTGACGATCTTCCAGTTAATATTATGCTTTATCCTAAGCATATTTCCTATTTAGCTCATCTCATCCTCATAAGAACCATGATGAGACCTACACACGCACCCACTACTCTATAGAGAAGGAAACCAAGGCACAGAGAGGTTTAGTAGCTTACCCAAAGCAACACAGCTGTTAAGTGTGGGAGTCAGAATTCAAACCCTGGCAGTCTGGCCACCTTCTGGCTATATCCTGAAGAGTCAGGTCCAAAGCTAACACAAGGAGGCAGGGTCTGAGTTCTGACTGGCCAAAGGGGCTCGGCAGAGCTCCTCAAGGTTTGGGCAATTGACCAACCTCAATGGATGTGGCAATTTGACCAACCAATCTCAACTGAGGGCGCACTGGGAACTGAAGGAGCCTGGAATCACACAGGCCTGATGGGCTCTAGCCTCACTTGGCGGCAGGCAATGTTTAGTTGTTGTGCCTAGCCATCAGCTCTTGCGTGGCCACACTGAGCCTTGGCACCAGCCCACAGCAGCAGAACAACAGGAAATAATTGCAGGACCATCTCAGGGGCTTTCCCAGAGCCTGGCTCAGAGTGTGTTCAGAAAGAGCGATGCTGAATGAGGTAGGAGGGGGAGGCGGACTGAGTGGGGAGCCCAGAACCAAAATAGTTTGGGGGGGCTGTGGGTCACGATTCCACTGTTTCTACACAGCTGTGGGAGGAAATTCTCTGGGACCAAAATAGCTGGGGACAGAGATGGGGCAATGCTAGGGGGCATGAGGGGGAGGCTGCTTGGAGCAATCTGCCCACCTGCCCACCCTTTGCAGCCTGCATACTCTCTCCTCTCTCCTGTGCACTAAAGACAAAGAGGGTACTCTGGAGCACAGCCTCCACCACACCAGGGGGGCCCCTCTTTTCTGTGATCTCTGAGGCCCCCGCTGCCCTTCAGAAGAAGCACAACCTCCCAGAGAGTAGGAGAGGGGTCCGAGATCCCATCTGTGCAGCCTCATGACAGTGCAGATGAGCTCCAAAGAGGGAAAGTAACTGTCCAGTGGCCACAACTAGAAACATAGGTTCCCTGTTCTCTGCAGAGCATACTTTTCACCACATCACACTCTCCAGGATATTTCCTCTTGGGTGGAAAGAACTTGCCAGGGTGGGTAAGACCAAGCAATCCTTTTTCCTTTGTCACCTTTTCTTCCACTATTATCCATGTTTTTTTGACAAATCCCAACAAAGAGGGACATAAGAGTGCCCTTGGGATATAACTCAGCTTCAAGACTGGTCTCTTGACCTACTAGAGGGCTTCAGCAGCCCTTAGGCTCTGATTTTGAATTCACTCAGGGTCCTGCCAGCTGCACTCAGAGCCTCTTCTGCTGGGTCCATACCAGTTGCCCTCAGTTCCCCCACATTCCCCAGCTTCACATTATCTTGCCACCACCTCAGTCATGTACACAGTAGACTTTGGAGTTCAGCATCTTCAGTTCCAAGATGAGAGCCCTTGATGGTCAACTCCAGGCGTGATCTTGTCCTGAGCAGGGTCTGGAGTGCTGCACATGTGGCCTACAGGGACCCCTCCACCTGGAGTTTGGAGAGATTGCATCTTCTTCCTAAAACCGACTCCTCATTTCTGAGGAGAATGAAGTTCATCCACTTGTCAAAGGGGTCAACTAAAATCAATCATCTTATTCTTTGCTCTCAAAAACCATAGAATGAATAAATAGCATTTATGCACCACCTAATTTAGAAAACTTCTTCACATTGACTCTCTTAGATAATTTAGGTTGAATTATCCCCTTCTTATGGAGGGAGAGCACAAGAGCCAGAAAGGTCAAAAAAGACTTGCCCAAGGTGAAAACTTTATTAATATTTATCTACTGAACAAAGGAATGGCTGCCGGCTGAAAAGCTGGTGCTTGGCACTTTTTGGCAGAATTATTCCCTGACACCACTCTCATCTCCAAGGCAGGACCCTCACTGACCTGTCCAGGGAGACCAGCTTAGGATAATAAAAAAAGCACACACTTACATAGTACTTATTATCCAGCTAGAATATATTATTTACATATGTTAACTCATCGAGTTCTCACTACAACCCAATAAAATAGACACTATTTTACAGATGAAGAAAGCAATACACACAGAGGTTAAGTAACTCATCCACAATCACACACCTAGTGTGAAGTAGAAAGAGGATTTGAACCCAGAACAGTATCTTCAGAGCCCATATTCCTAACCCTATACTCTACATACCTGGAAAAGCCACATGGGATAATAGAAAGACCCAAAGCTTCAGAGTTGGAAGCATCCATCCACACATTCATTTAACAAAGTCTCATTGAGCACTTTCATAAAGAGGAAATTATTCAGAGACTAGGGACATCATGGGAAAAACATATTTAAGGGAGAGGAGACTGATAATAAAGAAACTATGAGACATGATAAATATGATGGAGAAAAATTCTTTTTTAAAAAAGATTATTTATTCATGAGAGACACAGAGAGGGAGTCAGAGACATAGGCAGAGGGAGAAGCAGGCTCCCCGTGGGAAGCCCAATGCGGGACTCAGTACCAAGACCCCGGGATCATGCCCCAAGCCAAAGGCAGACGCTCAACCAGGGAGCCACCCAGGTGCCCAAGATAATGGAGAAAAATTAAGAAGAGTAGGGAAGTAGAGAATACCCAGAGAAAGGTAGTGTGGTATTATTATGTTAGATAGAATGATTTAGAAAGAACCCATTAATAAGGTGATATTTGAGCAGAGTCCTCAAGGAAGCAAGAGATGGAGATGTGCTAGGATTCAGGAGATAAATGAGACAAATACAATGGCACCTTCTCTCCACCCTGAAAAGGGACACGCTCACGGTGATGGAAGAATGATCAAAAAGGGTGGGTGGATTGAAGCAGAGTGAACAAGGAGTAGAGGGAAAGAGATGAGAAGAGTCCTTGGACATGGTAAGGACCTTGGCTTTCATTCCATGGGAAGGTAAGAAGTCCGGGGAGGGTTTCAAGCTCAGAGTACATGACAGGACTTCAGATATTCAGCCACCTGCATCAAGATGGTTTAAAAGCAGAAGCTAGAAAACAGTTAGGAGGCTATTGTAAGAGAACATAATGTGCCACGAAAACTCCAGATCTACCATCAGTAGTGACTATTGGACTAGAGGCAAGTTACTAAACTCTCTGAGCATCGATGTCCACAACTATAAAAGCAGGTATAAAAATACTTGATTCAAGGGCTATTGAGGAGAGCAAATAAGGTAAGTAAAATTTTTGATACATAGAAGAAACTCAATTAAAAAAATCAACTTCTCTTGGGAGAGGTGGGGAGCTATCCATTCCGCTTCCTCTCTTCTAGCCCCTCACCACTCCTGGGTTCTGTGTTGCAGATTCTCAGCTAGCTGAGTGCCGAGGCCCCCCTGAAGTCGAGGGCGCCCCACTCTTCTCGCTCACTGAGGAGAGCTTCAAGGCCTGCCACCTGACCCTGACCCTGGATGATTACCTCTTCATTGCGTTTGTGGGCTTCGTGGTCTCCATTGCCTCCGTGGCCACCAACTTCCTCCTCGGCATCACAGCCAACTGCTGCCACCGTTGGAGCAAGGCCAGTGAAGAGGAAGAGATTTGATGTGGGCTCCTGGTGTCCCTCCATGCTGCTGGCCACCACTGCTGCTGACCACCAGACACTGCTCACTCTGGCTCATGGTGCGCCGGCCACCTCTGTCATGACCCAAACAAGGTCAGGAAACTATCTTTGTGTGAGCTTCAACTGTGGGCCAGACACTGTGCCAGAACTGGAAATGTCAGGTGACTCTGACCTAGCCCCTGCCCCCAAGGCTCTTACCTCTAATGGAAGAGAGAGATTCAAAAACTATTCCCTTTAAGACAATTTGTCAGCACTCTCAGAGGAGTTATGAAAGCCCAGAGGAGGGATCATCAACTGTGCCTAGGAAAGTCCAAGAGAATTACAAGAATGGAGGCAATTTGTGAACTGAGTCATCAAAAATTGTCTGCTTTGTCAATTAGATAAAGAAGGGTGGACATGAGCAAATGACAGAGGCCAGATCATGCATGGTGTGTGAGAACGGAGACTAATCCTTGTAACTTAAGTACATAGAGCAGGTGTGGCACAGGACCAAAACTTCCCTCTGACACCGAATCTTTCAACTCCTGGAGTTGCTTACCACTGCCTCCAAAGGGCGAGAACACCTCCATGCCAGCCCCCGAGGCCTCCTCCTGCCAGAAGTTACCAGATAAGACCACCTCCTAAGGACTGCCCCTCATACTACATCCATCAATTGCAGCCTACCAGTGAGGTCCCAGGTACCAAGTGGAGGTATCTAATCTTCTCCTGACTCTCACTCAAGCTTTGGCTTCAGAAGAGGGAAGCAGGAGGACCAGCAATGGGGCAGCAAGAGTCCTGGCACCCTGGAACTCCTAATTTTGTGACTGTTCTTGCCACGGTGCTCATGCCAAAGGATCTCACCAGGAAAGTGCACTGTAGCATGAGAGTAGCCAAGACTGATGGAAGAAAAGGCCACCACAGCTGTGACTATAGGAGGATTTTCTCTTTCTTCCAAGAAATTCACCCATTTAAGCATCAGGGTATGAGAGCTATTAATTACCAAGCACTTGCCAGTGTCAGACACTGTGATATGCTCTCTCCACAGGCAATTCTCTTTAATGCACACACCAATCTTGTGAGGTAAGCGTTGTTGTTCCCATTGTATAGATGAGGGAACGAAGGTTCAAAGAGAGTTTAAAGTCACATGTTGCTTAACAAGCAAAATAAAGTCTGTGCTCTTTCTACCCTATCCAAGCCGGAGAACACCACAGTTCCCTCTAAAGTTATATAAGTTCAAATTAAAGTAATGTTGGTGAATAAGTGCTCCCAATGATGGCCAGGCTCTCTTCTGGGCACTTTTAAATCTACTGACTCTCCTATTTCAATTCTCACAGCAACACTGCCTGGTGGTCTTTATTATTTCCATGTTACAGTTGAATTAATTGTAGAGAGCTGAGTATCTTACCCAAGGCTATCTGGGTAAACTCTAGAAGGAAGGTGATAGGCAGCTCCATTCAGGGAAACTGTGTCTAATCAGTCATCACAAATCAAGTTAACCACATGTGCAAAGCACTATTATCATCATTGCTGCTGTTAACTCCATCATCATCATCAGCTTCCTCAGATCCTTCCCTGTATTTGTTCAGCACTGGACAGCTCCTAACAGGCTGTTCAGCGTCATTCTTCTTGACTTTTCACAACCCTAAGTGGGAGACAAACCAAACATAATTACTCCTATTCTGAAGAATGGAAAATAGAGACTCAAGAGCAGGTGTGATTTGCCAAAGCAGAAAAGTTGAGACTCAACTTCAACTTGGCTCTTTCTCCAGCTTTCCCAGGTGCTTGGGGAAGAGAATGGCCAGGATGGCAGGGTAGTGGGGCTCTTGGATTCAGCAGCCATGAACATCCAGTAGATCAGCTAAATAAAAGGCAGCAAAATCCAGCTGCTGCACAGATTTCGATGTGCTCAGAGGAGAGCAAATCACAGCCTATGAAACATAGAAGCAGCACAAATAACACCTGAATAGGAGTCATCTGCCTTGCAAAGTGTAAATAACACATTAGAACTAGTTGCCATGGTGGTAGTCATGCAAAAAAAAAATTCTTTGAGAAACAAGAGAGGAAGTTGTGCTAACCCCTCCTACTCAAGCCCTGCTGTGTTGTGTTGCAAGTGATACAAAGGGTGCAAGAGAACTGTGGGGTGAGAACCTCAGCAGGATAGGAGAAGAAATTAAGGCACAGTCCAACATGTTGGTAAGGTTGGCCAGGATAAAGATTAAAACAGGGGCTTTCTACATTGCCCCCCAGCTCCAACAATGTTGCATCACCCCATCCTCCTGAGAGAAGAATAAAGGAAAAAAAGCATGTCAACTTCCAAGAAGTCTTCCCTTACTCATGCTTCCCTGAGCTAGTCAACCAAAAGAGCACCTAGAAACTTTGCTAGACCTGGGGTACTTGAAATTTGTATCCCCTACATCTCACTAATAACATTTGTGCAAGATCCTGCTCCTGTGGCATCTGGAGTAGAACTGTGCCTGCTGTCCTCTTCCATTATACCCAGGCTACTCTTCAACAGTCAAGCTAACAGCCTAATATATTTGGAGAGGAACTTTTAGAAATAGTCTCGACACAAATAGCTAAGCCTCCCATAGAGGGACACCTTATACATCTATTATAATCTCCTAGAGACTCTTATTTATTGAAATATAGTTAATATATTTTAAGATATGTACCTTTTTGCATAGAACTAGAATGAAACAAGACACCTAATACCCCCTTGAATTCAAATGTCCTTTCTAATAAGACTATTTGTCCCCATTAATGGCAAATTTTTCTGAGTAAGATACATAACATTTAAAGAACAGATTCTTCTCCAGCAGCTAGAAGGTCCCCAGTTAGCTAAAGCACAATAATAAAACTTCTCACCTGCCAAGGAATTCCATATCTCCCATCACCACCACCCTCTTGTGCAGGCTATCAGAACCAAGCTTCTAGAAGCACACCTCTCTAGAGGTAATATAGCTGCGCTAGTTGTAAATGTTCACACAATCCTGCTGACCAAGAAACCATGAAGATATTCCTACAAGCCTTGAATAAGTTTTTTCAGACTAGTTAACATGTAAATATTGGGGCATCTCTGAGGCAATGTGTCTGTTCATGAAGTTCCATGAATGTTGGGTATCTACTGATATGGGGCCAACCTCTCTGGAACTTGAGTTCAGTTCTCTGACACAGTATACTCCGCCATCTGTTCATTGCATCACTTGGTACACTAAGTGGAATCCCATTAGGATTGGGTTAGGGATCACTGCTCAGAAAAATATAAAAAGAGATAAATGTGTGGCTGAGGCAACCTAGCAACAGCCTGACTGCTTTCCTCCATTCTCTATCTCTCAGAGATTTGTCTTTATCACAGAAGCTTCCTTTATGCTGGGCCAGAGGATATCAAAGTTTAGCTAACCAACAGTGCTATGATAGTGCACCAAGAAAATTGTTCTTTAGCAAAGACCCCAATCTGTACCACACCACACTGGACCAGTTGGAGACAAATCCTCACCTGTTTCTCCATTCCCATAGGGAGTACCGGGAAATTCTGCAGAAATAGGTCCCCAGAGTTGCTATAGAGTTTGCTAGCTCTTTTCAAGGAAGATGGCATATGGTTTGAATAGCCCAAGAAAGGCATTTATCTTCAACCATCAGGAAACACCTATAGGCTCCATTTTCCTTATAGATGTTTTTGTGGATATTGCTCTGACATCCTTTTCAGCTCTAGAAGAGTATAAGGAGACATCTTTGCCCATTTCTCAGAAGAACAATTTCCCAAAGCTAGAGAATCTTGTCTGCTCTACCCACCTCAGGGGAGGCAAAAGGAAGATGAAGGAGGCAAGTTGCAAAGTCCTATGTAAATCACCACCATGTTTTGCCACAGCTTTGGGTGGAGAGCTCTGGATTCACTGAGCTCTCAGTTTTTCTAAGCTATTGTCCTGTGGAATGCTGATGTCTGGGGGTGGGAGGGTTAGGGAGGGATGGGGAAAGGGAAGATGCCAACCTTTGTATGGAGATGATTTTATAACCATGCACTTTTGTAACTGTGAAGAATTTTTCATAAATGTACATTAATAATAAAGAGTGTATAGTTTAACAAATTCTCTAAGGAGTTGTGAAGAGGAGAGGGGGAGGCAGGGAAAGAAAAAGAGAGAGAAGAACTAGGCAGAAACAAGAGGATGTGTGCCAAAATATACACACAAAAGGTCTATGGGGAGGGAGTAGATGGGAATAATTAGGAGATGTGCCAACCATGGAGGGGCATGTGTGGGAGTAGAAGGAACATCACAGAAGCATATTTCTACCAGGCAAAAAAGAATACGCGTGTGTCTGTATGCACACACCCCTATGTGTAGGCATATTTTGGTGCCTGAAATTACACAAAGAGGAGAGCATATGTCTTATACATGTTGGTGTTTGCAGCTTGGGTCATCTATAAAACATGCCAAGGCAAGTGGGTGTGCCTGCCTAATTAGCATCACTAAGGAGCATGTGCCAGGGAGATGGTCCACACCAGCTGTGTGGGCATAAGGACCCTATCTTAGGCATACAGGTAAAACAGGCATCTAAAAGCATAGTGTAGGGACTAGAGGATGCCATCACTGGTATAGATTCAGTCTCTGTTCTCATAGGTTAATAAAGAAGGGAAGGGATTTTCGACCTCTTAGGTCTTGTAAATGTGACCTACACACCATTGGAAATGAGATGGTTGGGCAGTGTACCCCGGGGAAAGGGACCCAAAAAAGGAGCAAAGTGTACTTCTATAAGTACAATGGCAGGGGAAGTGGCTCAGAGCAGGAAGTGATCCAAGCAGGAAATGGCTCTAAACAGGAAGTGGTTCCTTCCACCAATAAGGATTTTCGCCATCCTATATGCCTCCCACTCCACTTGCCACAGGGCATGGACAAACACTGCACTGGGAGAAAAAAGCCACTAACAGGAACACAGATACTGACTCAGAGCACTCACACAGAAAGACAAAGAACATGCCTAACCATAACCAATGTTTTCTAAAGTAG